ATGTCATAGGTATCACAAATCTCCCCTAGTACAAAGCCTCTCACCCTCCAATGAATACCCTAGGTGGCTACTCCCCTTCTTCAACACATCATCCCTAATCTTCCCCAACTCCTCATCCCGTGCACTCTCCTTCTTAATGGCCTCCCAATCCAGCATCAGTGATATCGAAACTGCCATCGCCTGTAACTCCCCTATACATCTGGATAAGACATCTGCCGCCTTATTCTCCATTCCTGACCTATACTGGATTTCAAAATCATATCTTAGCAACATGGACAACCATCTTTGGTGCTCCTCAGTCACCATCCTCTGCTCCAACAAGTAACAGATTCATCTGGTCTGTCTGGACGATGAAATGCTGACCTAACAAGTAGGGCCGCCACTTCTGGATCGCTAACACAATGACCATTAACTCCCTCTCATAGACTGATTTTAGTTTGGCCCTAACTATCAATATATGGCTGAAATAGGCAATGAGTCGACGGTTCTGCATGAGCACTGATCACAATCCATTTCCTGAGGTATATGTCTCCACTATGAATACCTGAGTGAAGTCTGGTAAGGCCAAGACCGGTACAGTAATCATGACCTTCTTCAAGCTCTCAAAAGCTATTGTGGCCGCTTATCCCCACAAGAAACCATCCTTCTTCAGTTGTTCTGTTAGTGGCCATGTGATGGTGTTGTACCCTTTCACGAACCTCCTGTAGTATCCCGTCAGTCCTAGGAATCCCCTTAACTCCTTGAGATATTTCAGCACTGGGTACATCAACATAACTTCTATTTTGGCCTGATCTACTGTCACCCCTCCTCAGAGATTATATACCCTAAGTACTCCAGACTGGCCTGGGCAAAACAACATTTCTTCAGATTGGCCCTGAATTGGTGCTCCTGTAACACCACTAAGGCCCTTCTCAAGTGCTTCGAGTGCTCCTCTGATCTGTTATAAATTAGGATATCATCAAAAACACCAACACAAACTGCCTGAGACAGGGCCTGAAGACCTTGTTCATGAGGGATTGGAAAGTGATTGGGACGTTAGTGAGGCCAAAAGGCATCACTAGAAATTCATAATGCCCTTTATGAGTTTTGACGGTAGTTTTTGGCACATCCTCCCTTTTCATCCCGATCTGATGATACCCTGCTTTCAGATCTATTTTAGTGAAGATAACTGCCCCAATTAACTCATCCAACAGTTCATCTATCACTGGGATGGAAAACTTGTTTGACACAGTTTTCTTATTCACTGCCCTATAGTCCACATAGAACCTCCAACTTCCATCTTTCTTTTTAACCAGTAACACTAGGCTGGAAAAAGGACTAACACAGGGCCTAATAATCCCCGCCATTGTTTAAAATTGCGCAATATGAGGCTCACCTTGAGGCCCGCACCTTAGTGCAATTTCTGTGAAAAAGGCCTCGAGGCTTACGCCTCGAACTTTTTTTATGAGGCGCGCCTTGAGGCCTCCCCTCACTGGCTAGAGGCATACGCCTCGCTCTATTTATGTATATTTTTTATTTAAAACTTAGCTAAATCCTATAAAAAAACCTCAAAAAAATCATGCCCTCTTGTGCTCCAATGCAACAACAACTTCCTCTCAAGTGCCTCGACCTTCCATCCCACCGCCTAGGATAACTTGAAATCCGCACGTCGCTACCATCTCCTCTAAAAATTTAAGTATTACTCTTAATTTTTGTTGATGATAAATATTTATGAAAGAGGAAGATGCCTGAAATAAATATAGAAAAAGTAAATTTGAAGGTGTTGGACACTAAAGGATGAGGGAAGGGAGATGCCAATTTGTTTTGACAACTCAAATAGAAATCCCCTTGGTAATGATAATACAGATGATTTCTTATTTGTTGCCAATTATTTTAAATTTCTTTAGTAATTAAATATATATAAGTAGAGAACTGAGAAAAAAGAAATTTAGAGCTAAACTTGATACTATATACTACGCTTATGCAATTTATATATTTTTCTGTTGTTTTTTTCATGTAATATTTGGATTTCGATTCTATTTCACATAATTTCTTACTTACTGCTTTATATTTTGTGTAATTTTTTATTTCATATGTATGTAAATTTATTACTTCATAGTTCAATAGAAAGTTAATATGCCATCCTTTATCATATTATTTGGGTATTATATAAAAAATCACTTTTAACTTTTATTTTTACTTTACACAATTTTTAAATTTTGAGGCTTATGCCTCAAAACGCCTTGAGGCTTACGCCTCGCCTCATAAACGAAAAACGCCTCAATACTCAATTAAACCTTGATCACTGCTTCCAGCATCTCTCTAATCAATTTCTCAATCTCATTCCTTTGAAACTGAGGATAGTGATAGGGCCTGACATTGATAGGTGACACACCTTCCTTCAAGATGATAGCATGTCATTGCTCTTTTGGTGGTGGCAATCCCTAATGTGGTTGAAAAACCACAATGAATTGTTGAATAAATGAGTGTACTTAAAGAGGAACTTTCGCTCTCTCCTCTAGTCTGATCCCCTCCGGCCTATTTAGTTCCACCAAATAACCTTCCCTCGCCTCTTGTATACCCTTCACCATGGTTTTAAGTGATACCAAGGCTTTGGAGAGTCCTTCATCTCCCCATATCACTCTTCTCCCTTCCACCACTAGCTCCAATGCCACTGCCTTCCAGTTGACCTTGGTGTCCCCCAAGGTCTGCAGTCACTTCATCCACAGGATGACATCAGTGCTCCCCAACTCTAATGGGAGAAAATCCTCCCTCACCTAAACTCCATGTATGGTCAACACTACTCCTCTACAGATCCCATGGGCCTTCTCTACCTTCCCTGTACCCATAATCACCCCATTACAACCTGTATCCACCAATTTCACTACCAATTGATCCACAATCTAATTGGAGATGAAATTGTGGGTAGCCCCACTGTCAATCAACACCACTACCTCCTTGTCCGCTATTTCTCCCTTCACCTTCATGATATAAATCGGAATGAATCCTATAACTGAGCTCAAGGAGACCTCTGTCATGTACAGATGCAGCTTATCCTCCATCCCATCCCCATCCCATCCTCTTGTATATGTGAGCCAGCCCTTGGCCATGGGCCTGCTAGACCGGTCCAACAGGGACCGGTCTACCAGAAACATGTAATGATTAACATTGGGTAGAATAAAACTTCTCTTTCAAATTTCAATCTTATAAGTGTTGGATGAGCGATTCTTTCAGGTGAGATAAAAAGGAAAAGACTTGGTTCCAAAGGAATTCATCTATTAGAAATAGCATGAGAACATATTTTAGTTAGTTTGGCGGATTCATTTTTTGTTCTATTCATATAAATTATTTGGTACTGACTTATTTAATATTCCAGATTTTGATAAAAATTTTGACACGTCAGAAGTCTTAAATCTAATTTGTGAAAATTAATTTACATTGCTCGTTAATTTTAAATATTTATAATTTATCACTGAAAATTTTAAATTATTTTAATCATTTCATTATCACTTAGTTTAATTTTGGTTTTACTTTTTTTTTTCATTTAGATAAAGAAAAAAGTTGAATTAATTGGTGACCTGCAATATATGAATCCTTACTTTTTTTTTGCATAAAATTATACCATGCATCATATTAATTCTATTAGCGAACTCTAATCCCTAGCCTTCCTGCGTCATTCTATATAGAAGCTTTGTGTTTGAGAGTGTTGATATTAATGAATATGTAAAATAGATCAATCAAATTTCATGGAGTAGAAATCATTTGATGCTTTGGTTGGTATTTGAATTCTGTGACATGCGAAGGTTACTGCATGCATCAATATTATACCATACCAATCCCCATTTTCACCCGAATAGCTCCAAATTTGCAAAATCCACAGCCCTTCCTATTCATATATGTAACTGGCCAAGTGTTCAAAACGAGTATTTTAATTAAGAAAGCAAAAGGATGTGGAACAATGAGAAAAAAGAAATAACCTTTAAGATGATTTTTTGCAGATTGACAAGTCAAAAACAAGTATCGCAGTAGTCTTTTTGAACAAACTTGAATGAGATAAGTTCTCAAAGATCGCAAAACAAGTCTAAAAAGCATAATTGTTTATACTAAATCATTCTTGATATAATAAAATCTGACAAAAAAGGTACAACTTCTTAAGAAAAGTGGCTTCTCGAAATGATCTGTATTGTAAGGATTATGAATAGAAAATTTCAGAGGATTGAAATAATTAAGGAACCATCGCAAAAAGAACTGAAATTATTATATATAATACACAAGAAAGAAATCCTTTTGATTTAAAGAGAATAGAGTTCATGTCCCAAGAATTTTGAAAAATGTGCCAAAAGAAAAAAACTTGTCAAATAGAAAAATGACATCCAAAAGGAAACTTCCTCATAATCAGATAAATATTTGTAAAAACAAGAAAAAAAACAAAACAAACTCCAAAAAGGAGCTACCGTGAAGATTATTCAGAGCAATATTCTAAGGTCTGGAGCTATTGGATGGAAATTCATATTAAGATAGCTCTCATGCTTACCAATATAATTAATGATCAATATCAGCCTGCTCCCAGTAATTCAACGTAGGGCTAATACATCCATCCTGAATTGTTATTCCTAGAAAGAGCTGTTCATTTTGAATTTTGATTTAGCTAGATCTTCAAAAGGCATAGCTTCTAACAAGTTTTGCTAAGGCCAGCCCTTTTTCTTTAAAAACTCAATTGCATAAAGCTAGATGGCAGAAATGGAAGTCCTTTTATTCTCTATCACCCAGACTATAATTTCTCATTTTCAACAAACTAATGAATCTACCATCTGAGTAAATATTAGATTATATCAACAGTATGAAATTTATTGCAACCTTTGCCTTATCCTAAATTTGCATAGATAGTTTATTGTACAGAAAAAGGATGTTAATCATAGTTTATTGTACATAAAAAGGATGTTAATCCACAGAATTTTTTCTTTGCATGTTTTAATTTGAATATAGCATGATGCGGATTGAGACCAGAAAAGTAAGTCAACCTTCATATGCTTCTAGTACCATCTGATAGCTGACAAATCCAGAAAAAAGAGTAAGCTGCGGTGAAGAACAAGATCACATGTCAATGGAACTTCTAAAAATTATTCATCAAATACAAGTTCCAAGAAATACATGCTAAGATCCTCAGAAACAATATAATGTAGATTGAACAGCAAACTAATATAGAAATGACCATTAACCAATTTGAAGGAAACAACTATAAGAACATGATCATAGGCAGTGTCTTACACGGACATCAGGCTACAAAAGAAAAAAAAAACTCTTAAGAGGGCTCCCAAGTTGGAGAGGGCATAATTTTGAATGCTTCTACACTTGAGCTGAATAGAACACCATGTTGCAAAGCCATTTGGCATGTTCCTCCTTTATTAATCTAAGAAATTAACAATTATTTCTGAAAAAACTTTGGACAGAACACGCACACAAATTGGACAAAACTGAACACATCCTATGCCACTCTAACTCATTTTCCTAATCAATCTGATTTTTAATTCGCTCAATCTCATTCTCCCTTTATCACTTTTTAGTAATATATTTGTACTTAGTATCACCCATTGGTGAACATTGTGATTGGCAATAGGATTATAAGTATCAAATTATATAGCTATTTTATGAGGTATAAACTACTACTTTTAAGGAAGGAATTTGCATTCTAGTCTCTTTTCTTTTGGCTTTTCACAGATTCTATGTATATCTCACATGGTTGCCTATGTTTTCTTCCGTGATGGTTTAGTTGGTCAAATATTCAAATTCATTGGTGGACCTTCCCTCAGGATATAAGCCCAAACCTTCCAAAGATCGAGATGTGTCTGCACTCTATGAACCAACTATTCACAAAAACCAAGAAAAATCTTTGTGCTCAGGATCTTTATTTGAGCCAATTTTATTCCAACCAGGAATTGAGATAAACTCAAGGCTTCCTAGTCGAGTCAATTCATGGATGCGCCAAAATACCCTCTACCATATATCTTTATGAACTTGTTAGTAAGGCATAAAAACAACCTTGAATCAAATATCTAATATGAATTATAGCTTCAATAGATTGTCATACAACACTCTAAATCACATGCAATCAGTATGCTCTGAGGTGCTCTTCTTTCCTAAGTAAATTCAGAATCCAATCTTGTTGTTGAATTGGCCACACTTTAAGTCTCTGATCCAACCTCAATATAAATTGAACAAGTCTAGTGTATTGAACATCAGTGATCCGTAAATACAGTTATAAATCGCCGATAATAATACTAGTCTCCTTGAAGTAATTTAATTTAGTTTTGAACCATTAAATCTCATTAAAAGAAAGTGCCCTCAAGTGTACTCTCCTCTCCAATCAACTCAGAGTATCTTGTAAGAGGAAAATTGCATTTACTAATCGCAATCCCTGGATGAAAAGGCATCAAAACACTTTATCATTCATAGATTGGGTCCACCAAGTTAACTTGGAATTACAAAATCATGGTATTATGATTGGGTTGATCATAGATCTCCAAGCCTAACCGCAAATTAAAAAACTAATACAAAGTGCATGTGATATCCATGATCGAGAGTATTGTCAGGTATCTAATCTGAGATGTAATTAACCATAAGAGTTGCGCTCATGAGACACATTGATCCTCAATCGAATATAAACCCTAAATAGAACTTCATCTAGCTAGATGAAATCTCTGTAAAAGTAATATGATGTGCATATTGCTCAACATATTACAATAAAAATCATAGCTTATGCTAGTACACCATCCAGCCTCCAAGACCCATCACACCCCAAGACCCACCACACCTTGTGATCACAAATTAAAAAATCAAGCCCCGCCTTCATGTGCAGTGCTACCACAAAAACTATATTTTTCTCATAGATACCCACCCAAACTCGCACACACAAACTAAAAATCAAACCCACCTCCATGTGCATTACTCGTACCAGAACCCTTACATTTTTGTCATAAGTATGTGGTCATAAGTAGAAATTTCATATAAAAACTTTAGGATACTGAACATTTATATTTACCACCATTATATCTGCTTCCTACTAGTTTTATCAATCCTTCGCATACAAGTGGCATTCTCACATTATTGTGGCCAAGTCCGCTTGTCTTTTAGGACGAAACCAAGTAATCCTGGGATATGCTCACTTACGTGACCATAAAGCATGCAAGATGTGAGACTCAAATTAAACATATAAATGACATGCAAAGACAAGACTGGCTTGGTTTGACACAATAGGGAACACAAGACTATACATGACAATATAAAACATGATCCCACAAGACAATACAAAGCATAAATATACACGACAAAAATTAAATAAACAATCATTTACATGAAATCTAGTAGCCCAAGCATTTAATTAAACCTATATGTATTTTAGAAAAATTTATCCTTCATTTAAGAGGGAGAGAGAAGTCTATCCCAGTGGAGTCGCTAGAAAAATCTATGGGCCATACATTAGGTACATAATCGAGTTTCCTATAGCAACTCGTACGAGTTTGCATTTGCTGCGTATTATCTACATCTCCGCTCGCAATGGATTGATGTATTTGTCGACTACTGAACAATTGCCAACTACAAGGGCATTGTAATATTGGACACTTGTTGTTGATTACCCATTGTAGACATGCTATTGGGCCTGCAATAAATCTTTCGTCATTTCCAACAGGTGTTTGCATTTGTTTCATGCCTTTCGCCTATGCTTATGGATGACATGTTGAGGATAAGATGGGTCTCCTGCAGCGGCTCGTAGGCATTTACATTCGTCGTAGACATGTGGCATTTTGCTCGCAAATGATGCTTTGTGCGTATAGCGAGTCTTCTGGAAGGGCCTATGTCCGATGTTTCCTTGCAGATAACATGTAGTGTGTATAACGGGACTTTTACAACCTCGTAGACATTTGCACTTCACTACGTATCATATGCCCTTGCTTGTAGGGAGACGGTGCATTTGACTGATGTTGGACAATTGTTGGTCGTGGAGGTGCTATAGTGTCTTTGCTACAACAGCTGGTAGGTACCTCAAATGTGCTGCGGACATGCTGTCTTTTCCTGCATGAGGATCGGTGTATTTGACTATCATTGAATGATTGTTGAATACGAGGGTGCGGCGACAACTCGTAAGTGCCTTGCATACATTAGTTGTATATCCTCTATGTTTTGCTTGTGAACATCATTATGTTCGTTACACTCATCTTTTCAATTAGTGTTTACAAAGCCTTTCACATTCATCGTATGTCAATCATCATTGCTTGCAGGTAGATGAACGCGCTCGTTAATGAACTGATGCTGATTGCTGCATGGGTTATACTCATTGTTGATATCCTCCACATACATTCATCGACAACTCAACATGCCCATTGTGTGTTGACTTTCAACATTTGTAAGCAACTGTTGCATTTATCCATGAGTTGCCTGTCATTGACTGGAGAGAAATCATAGTACTCGTTGTCTATGGCATGGTGCATACTTGTGAATAACTTCTTAGATACATTATGACAAATCAAATCACTAATAAGGTTTTTTGTGATCTATTTGTAATTAGACCACATCTCTCTCTTGATTGTCGTTGACCATTACATGCGAGCAATTATACTTGGGGCCTTATTCACCACAAGCCCTTATTCATTCAAATAATTTTGCATTGTTCTTGCATTTAATTTTTCATTTGTTCGCATTGGTGAACTAGCATTTTGCTTGTGTGTTTCAATGTTCGTGGGAATTGCAGCATGCGTCTCGCAAGCTGGTTGATCTCGGCCGCAGAGAGATTATTATGTTCACATCCTATTGCTTGTTGGCAGATGAATGTACCTATTTAAATGTCATTGACTATATATAGGCTTCATTCATTTCAAGCTCATTGAATATGTCAAACTATTGCGCTCATTGCACGTCAAATCCCCCTACTTATAAGAGCAAATGTACTTGATTGCATAACTTATATGAGTGCTACACACCAACCAATCATCTGAAGGTGACTTATAAAGTGTCAAGGACTCTGCATGCTTGCTTGCAATCAGATTACGAATTCCCTTCAACTTCACTACTTGTGAGCGAGTCATGTTGAAAATCATGAGCCCTTCACCATTCCTCAAAAGCAGCTTGTGATTTATACAGTGCATTTGCTTGTTGATGCTTGGATTCTAATCAACATGATAATTCCTCGATATCTGTTATAGATTCCATGTTATTACTCACGAGCGTATCACAACATTTTCATTTGATCTTGCGGGCAAACAGTGTTTGGAATTTCGTCCAACATAAGTTTCCTATTTGTTTATTTATGATCGTTTGAGTGCTTTGAACCATTACTTAGCATTCACACTTTCAATTTCATTGTGCATTTGTTAGTTTTAATGTCTGGTTCCTGTCATTTTATTAAGTTTAATTTATTTTTGTACGTTCGAGTTTGCAAGTTTAAGTCCCCTTTTGTTCAAATTGGATTCAACTTTAATTCGTCGTTCACTTAATTCCCCTGCGTTCAATCAAGTTCAAATCAAGTCTCCTATTTAGTCTAAAGTTCGGCAACCTCCCAGCGTCTTCCCCGTTTAGAAGAAATCAGAGAGTCATAGTATTTACCTCCATGCTATGTGAGCGCTTCAAATAGGTGTCGGACGACACCACGTCCGCATTTCTTCAATCATCGCTAGGCTACGAGAGCGCTTAAGGGTCTTTGGGATACCTATTTGAAAACGCGTAATTTTCTTTCCCCCGCATGCTACATGAGAGTTTAAGGGTACTTAATTTCGCCCTCATCATGCTACGCGAGCGATTCGAAGTTTACTTGCCTCGTCGCAATGGGTTCCCTCCCACCATGCTACGTGAGTGCATAGGGTGGTCCGCCGACTCGTTGCAAATGTAGAACGCGGGCTTTTTGAGTTTAGAAATTATACATGCGCGATGTCGACGACGATGGGATGGAGGCACGAAAATCGGGACAAACTTTTTTTTTTTTACTTCTGATTTTCTTTTTCTTTTTTTTTTAATCCCCTTTTTTCATATATATATATATACACACACAAACACTTATACTTATAATAATAACAATAGTAATAATA